CTTAAGGTAGTGGCGTATGGCCACAAACCTGAACCATGTGTACTTAAGGTAGTGGCGTATGGCCACAAACCTGAACCATGTGTACTTGTTAAGGTAGTGGCGTATGGCCACAAATGTGAACCATGTGTACTTGTTAAGGTAGTGGCGTACGGCCACAAATGTGAACCATGTGTACTTGTTAAGGTAGTGGCGTACGGCCACAAATGTGAACCATGTGTACTTGTTAAGGTAGTGGCGTACGGCCACAAATGTGAACCATGTGTACTTGTTAAGGTAGTGGCGTACGGCCACAAATGTGAACCATGTGTACTTGTTAAGGTAGTGGCATATGGCCACAAATGTGAATTATGTGTACTTGTTAAGGTAGTGGCGTATGGCCACAAATATGAACCATGGTGATATAATTAATGCAGAGTTATTTGGTTTATGGCAAATTTCTAACCATTCAAATATCACGTGGCATATGCCAAAATCCCTTCCTGGAAAAGATAATCCAGATAGCAAGACTTGTAAATGATACAGAGCCAAGGTTCACTATATTACACACAAAGGAGTTTTCAATGTTCTTCATCGAGGTGAAAACACTTACCCAGAAGAGCATTAAGAACAACAATATGCTGCAAAGCCACACCCTAAGCCAATCCAGAGCAAAGTGAGAGATAGAGTTGTGAAAGAGAACTCTCTGACCCAATCAACCATTTTAAGGAAGCTTGGAACACACAGGAAAATCTGCCACAACTGAACATTCTTACAACACGTGAAATGGCACACCCAGGAAAAACTGCCACAACTGAACATTCTTACAATGCGTGAAATAGCAAACCCAGGAAGATCTGAAAAAACTGAATATTCTTACAACACGTTAAATGGCACACCCAGGAAAATCTGCCACAACTGAACATTCTTACAACACGTGAAATAGCAAACCCATGAAAATCTGAAAAAACTGAACATTCTTACAACACGTGAAATGGCACACCCAGGAAAATCTGCCACAACTGAACATTCTTACAACACGTGAAATGGCACACCCAGGAAAATCTGCCACAACTGAACATTCTTACAACACGTGAAATGGCAAACCCAGGAAAATCTGCCACAACTGAACATTCTTACAACTCGTGAAATGGCACACCCAGGAAAATCTGCCACATTGAAAAACTTACAACACATGAAACCAATTTAAGGATCTGTACATCACCGGAAACTTAAAAATATTAAAAAACTCAATAAAAAACAATGAGCCAAAAATTAACCCGAGAACAAGACCTTAAAAAGCTAGCAATATCTTTCTACTCCTTGACAGAGTAAAATGAAGAAGTTGAATTGCATACTGTTGACAAATATATACTTAGAAAAAAAACACATTAAATTTACTCTTCAGATAATGATACGTTTATTTCAGCCCAAAGTTTTGCTGTTTTGGGTTCATCAGGGATAGCAGTAGTTTTTTGTTACAACAAAGTCTATTTGTGACAATGTCCATCATGGGTATCGAAATGCAGTTTTTAGGTTTACAAGTCCTCAGGGGACTATAACGAAAATAATTATTAACACCTACCACATGAGCCAGCCCAGCATCTTTTACTACTGAGCCTAGAATGGCTTATATTTCACTGTTTTTACAGTAACCAGTTAATAAGTCTCCAATTCAGCTGGCACATTAAAATGATTGGGATATCTTCGAACAAGTTCTTCCCTCATCTGACCTACACACATGGTTTAGCTTAATTGCTACATTCAAGCCATCATATTCACAACCACATCTCAAAACTGTTTCATAGTGCAGGTACCTTATGTAGGTTGGTGTATCAATGTAGGTACACGTCTAGACATCACAAAACTGTTTTATAGTGCAGGTACCTTATGTAGGTTGGTGTATCAATGTAGGTACACGTCTAGACATCACAAAACTTTGTTTTATAGTGCAGGTACCTTATGTAGGTTGGTGTATCAATGTAGGTACACGTCTAGACATCACAAAACTTTTTTATAGTGCAGGTACCTAATGTAGGTTGGTGTATCAATGTAGGTATATGTCTAGACATCACAAAACTGTTTTATATTGCAGGTACCTTATGTAGGTTGGTGTATCAATGTAGGTATATGTCTAGACATCACAAAACTTTTTTATAGTGCAGGTACCTAATGTAGGTTGGTGTATCA